ATTGAGTCCCTAGCGATGATAACAACACACGCTTAAAACGCAAAGGCTCATGGGTAGACGCCTGTTTGTAAACAATAACACGCTATGGCCACCTGGCGCATGTGTAGATGACTCCCCCGCTTTAACATATTACACGTTCAAATGCATGAGTCAATGAATTGTACGCCATTGACTCATGAAATCATACATCAAAGTGTCCTAGAAGAAACAAGAAGAGAAAAACGACTCTTAACCGAAACAATTCATTCTGATGTAGTTTACATATTTATAGAAGAGAAATTAGAATACTAGTACCAAACCAGTACTAAAACCAGAGAAATTCAGAGAAATGCTTAGTTAAAATATTTTCATTATTTTATTTTTAAAAATTAATTTAATCAAAATTTCATCATTTTATTTTTTTAGTACAAAGCTCCCTCAACGTCCATCTCGGGACCATGCCCGGGACCTCAGACAAGTACCGCGGTATTTATTAGTTGTCTGAGCCGGGACGAAATGGGACTTCCCCGGGCGTTAATACCCACTGTTATACACTGTTATAAAGATATATTAAAATAGCAAAGACAGTGAATGTTACTAACAAGAAAATACTACTAGTAGTAGATAAGGCTTCGTACAACTTGAATGGTACTTTAGCTTCGATTGCATATATTCATAATAAATAAACTGTACAATTCAGTGTCAAAGCTATGGACGAGAGCGAGTCAATCACCGCAACATTGATTAGCACAAAGCTTTGTACTTATACGCAGCGGCGATGTGCTTGTGCATGGAGAATATTCATTTGCCAGACATTATATTGTGTAACATTGCGTCAAAAAGTTAGCAGTGTAAAAAATGTATGTAAGTTATTTGCCAAAACTTCGTGTAACTTCAGCTTTCCGCGATTGACACTAGAACATACGTCCATTAATAGCGGTATACTTTAGTTTTCTGTGATTGACACTAGAACATACGTCCATTAATAGCGGTATACTTTAGTTTTCTGTGATTGACACTAGAACATACGTCCATTAATAGCGGTATACTTTAGTTTTCTGTGATTGACACTAGAACATACGTCCATTAATAGCGGTATACTTTTAGTTTTCTGTGATTGACACTAGAACATACGTCCATTAATAGCGATATACTTTAGTTTTACATTGCAATAATATACAAACAAAATGACACAATATGTGACCATATGGATATCATGTATTTATAGAAATATTTTCGTTTTTGTACTTAGTAGTACTAAGTAGTACAATAAAACGCGACAATAGCAGCATTTTGTGTTACTGTGTAGGCCTAGTACGTCCACGATAAGTTTTACCCCAGATGTTTTACAAATTGATAAATTGTACCTCATGTTTGGTTCTACAATGTACTTTACACATGTACCACCTGTTCCAGGGAGGATTGGCACGAGAGGGCGCCATCCGATGTGTCGACCTGCGCAGAAGGGCCCAGAAGGGACAGGTCTATACTGTTGTGTATAATGTTAAATCTGTGTCTTCAAAGTTTATTTGATATACAGTCACAATCTGTGTCTTTATTGTATATACAGTAACGTGACATTTTACGGCTGTGTAAATATCAGATATACACCTTGCACTATCAAGTTTATTTGTAACTTTCACGTCTCCGATCTGCGAAACGGATGTAGATGAGACTGTACACGATCTGTTTATAATTGCATTTTCGATTCTTTTTATTCAGCAGCCCATATGCAGTGTTTGAAATTACTGCCTGTCCGTACCGTGACGAGCGAGACAGGTAATTTTCCAGCTGGGCTGATAAATATGATAAAAATTAAAATTTTCATGACCGGTGGCCTGGTAACATTTTGTAATGGTCTACTTCGTGCACGTAATTATTTCATAAAATCCCCCCAAATGAGGAAACCGTTATCGCTTTTACCCCCAAACATAGTTTGTCCAGCTCGCATAACGAACTTCGACAGTTTGACGCGACCGGCGCATGTCACGTGACCCCTCATTCATAATAGTATTCAAATTTGCATGAAGCCACTCAACTCTCGGACTCCATATTGGTTAATCCGACATCTTTGTTCCGTAAAACGACACGCGCTGTTTTCTGCACACCCAGGGGCTTTAAAACGCTCGAACAACGACGGTCGTGGTCCAGCTCACCCCGTCAGTATCTCTGGGTGTCTACTGCAACTTATTTCGCGAGGATTTTGTGTTCGTGGCAGGATTGCGGTCGCCTCACTTCTTTGTTCGCAGAACAGACTGACACTATAGTAAGGGCGGGGTCAACGAACTTTATCATGGACGATTCCATTACGGTAGTGATACCCACGTCTCCGACGCGGTCTTCGGAAACACCACCAGTTAGCCAGCCAGTACCTGAAGTATATCCACCGGCAGTAGGATGCCCACCGGTACCCGGGGTATACCAAGGATATAAAAAAGAAGCTCCATCGGCGTCCCAACTGGTACTCAAATTAAGCCCATCGATACCCGAATTATGTCCGCCGGTACAAGACCATAGCCCACCGGTACCCGAAGTATGTCCATCGGTACTTGGAGTACCCCCTGCCCCGGAACCCCCTGGGATATGCCAACCGCCGGTACCCAGAGTATACCAACTTGTACCCCCTGGAGAAGGACTAAACCTGGCGCCGGATAACTTAAAACGCAAGCGTATGCGGGCTGATATCACAGACGTTATGCGGAAAGAAATATGTCTTTTCAAACTTGGAAACCCCTCTGCCAGCCACAGAGATGTTGTTGATATAATGCAGAAAAGCTACGGAATTCAAATCGGCAGAAGCACAATATCTGAAATTCTGCGAGAAAAACAACGGTGGCTGAGTCTCGATTTTGATAATTCCAGACCACAATTAAAACGACATCGATCTCCGAAATTCCCAGAATTTGAAAACTTGCTTGTTGCTTGGCTAAAACAATCAATGACCTCAGGAATTTACGTGAGCGACATGATGATAAAAAGGAAAGCTAGAGAACTAGGTATGCTGGTTGGTATCAATGAAAACAACTTTGCTTACTCCAGTGGGTGGCTTTCAAACTTTAAGGCGCGTTATGGGGTGAACCAGAAAGAGATGCGAATGTACAACAGTCAGCCGATCTCCAGAAGTCGACGCAGTCGGTCGCCAGTCCCCATCCGTGTATTTGTGCCGGTACCTGAACCCTCACAGTGCCACACACCCCCAAGTGTACCGACGGAAACAGGTCGAGAAGAACTATGTGACGATAAAAGTCAGCTACAAGACTACATAGCTAATTACTATCACGTCATTGGCTACGAGAAAGGTAGGTACTATGTACAGTAGGTGGGCCGTAATGCATCAACTTAGGGAGTCCTGTTCAAATGTGTGTGTTTTTTCGGGGGGGGGCGAAATTAGAAATTACCGATTTTTATAGGGGCGTTTGAATTGTATACTTGTGATCATATGATTCACTGTGTCCTAGGAAGTAAATATTTATTTTTAATATTCCATACAATTCATTTGCTCTATAACTGTTTCACACACTTACTGTGTTTCATTCTGAGCAGTTTTTATTGCACTCTAGTGATGTGTTGTCTACAGATTAGTTACAATAGTAGTAGTCTTGCTCACACATGCATCTATCGACCAGACATCATATAATACATTGTACAAGGGTGAGAAACATCACCCACGTAACTAGTACAATTGTAAATTGAACAACGCTAGAGAAAACAATGTTTCTTGATATTTAGCCATTTGCACACTTCACTCTCAACACAATATGTGGGTAAAAAAAGTTGTTACCACCACTCTGTCCAGGTGCTTTAAAGGAATATTACAATTTGTATTTGCTCTTTGTGATCAATTTTATGGAACCGTTCGCTTAACAAAATATCAGGAATTTGTAGAACTTTCTAATGAGTCAACTACATTCATCTCTAATTTGTGTACTAGTATTGAAAACACAATAAAATTATATAAAGTTGATAGCAGTGCAGCAATTCAGGAACCTTACATATAGACATACTGCAAATAGACTGATGTACTCTCAGCATTACAATGTATATTCTCGAAGACCAATGTCCATCACCCACCCTGGACTTGCTTAAATTTGCATATATGTCTATGGTGGGTGAAGCAGCCAAGCCATGGATCATAATAAACTGGACATCACACGTGCCTGTGTTTACTTGTCTCGCGCTATGTTACCGTGTTGTTGACGCCAACAAAATTGAGTAAAACAAACATCATTTCTCTGAGAAATTATCTCTATTGTGTGTGGTCTTGATATGTTAATTAGCCTGTCTTCTGATTGGTTGAAACATATTAGACATGTCAATCATTACAAGCCTGAATCTGGTCAGTAATGTGAGGGCGCTTACACTGATGGCAAGTCTGTTAGTATTTCACTGTCACATGACTTCGCATTCACCCCCTCGTTACGCAATTTATATTTCAAGAATTTTTCATTGCTGTCACAAACTGCAAGTATACCCCCCCACATTGCCAGTGCAAACCAAGAATAAGATTGCACATTAAGTGAATGCAAACACCTTCCTCCTCCTTCCTTTCTGCTTCTTACTTTCTGTTTTGATTGGTCTTTGAGAATCTAGTTTCCATAAATGTTTGCTATTTCATAATTCAAGCATAATTTCACTGCGACTCCATGGCTACAAGAACTCTAATGAAATATAAACTGGTATTGTTGCAATGTTTTATGATTTCCCTGAAAATTTGTCTTTTAGAAAATCAAAGCATCTACACTAAACTACCAATAAATCGAGTCACTAAAAAAAACTCAGACACTTTTTTTGTACAAGGTAAACAAAGACAGATTTTAATCAGAATTCTTTGAAATAATTCCAAATTGTTTTGACAGCTTGCACAAATCAAATAAACCACAGCTTGATCAGATCATTTCACAATTTCTAATACAAATATGTCAGCATTTAGACTTTTGCAATATTTTTTTTAAATAAAATTGAATTTAAAAAGATAATAATACTGCAAGTCGGTTATATACAAGTAAAAATGTGCTGTGGAAAATTATTACAATATTACAAGATAAATTTTCTGAAATGTTGTGCAGTAAAATAAAAAAATAAAGTACATGTACTAAAAAAATTAAATAAAAATTATACAGACATTGCACTAAAAAATTGATGCACTATTTTGCATTCCAGTTAACAAAAAAAAAATTGCATTGCATGATGGGTAAATATTGCTGTGTGGTACTGGCAGTGGTGCATACAACACATAAAGTGATCTAATAAAAACAAAACACGAATTAAAGTAATAAAAATATATTTCTAAAATAAAATACTGATATGGTAGTTACAGTGAGATAAAATTCATAGTTTGTTGGCAGCAACATTGTCTTCAAATCTCAATATTAAAAAAAAAATGACCATTCATAATGGTTCTAAACCACCTGGTGAAGGATAAAAAAAAAGAAGGTATGAACAAATTGTCATTGCACAAAACAAATTGATTTATCCTAAAATATATCAAACATTACAAAATGAGAATGTAGCATGTTGTAGCAACACTTGCGTGCCTTGACCAAAACTAATAAAATTGTCACCATAAATGCACTTTGTTAAAATGTTTCATTGATTGGTAACATAAACGGCAGTCATCATACACAATATGGTTTTGTACAACACATGGGAAAGGTTTTGTTCACATGAAATTCATACAATGATGAACGCCAACTGCAGTATGTTGCTTTCAAAGGTCATAATCAAATAGTACAGCTTTGAACTTAGTTTTAAAAACGAAAAAAAAAGAAGACATTTTTGCTTAGCAAATAAATTAATATTATGTGTATTCATTCATGTGTGAAGGAATATGGAACATATGAGAAGTGTTGGAACTTTAAACAAGGCTAACCCATGCCTCACCTGATACACTGTTGGCAGCGACTAACAAATTGCAAATTGGAAGTGCTACAGTCGCCACACAGCGTGCTGCTGCATGGTCTGAACTGTAATGAGACCTCTGATATAGTGATTTTGGGTCTCTAGTGCTCTGAATACATTGTCAGTAATAATAATAGAGAGGACAGAGAAGAAACAATGAAAACTTTACACAAACAGATTTTCTGAATAATGCAAGAATAGACAATAATAATTGAAGTGAGATGAAGTACACTTCCCTGTATAATGAAGTAAGTAATCAGACATTGGCATTATGATAGAGCACATATGCAAATGAAATATCTATATTACCGTATATGGTAAATAAAAGAATTCCAAGTATGGTAATGTCTTGGTATCAGATACTGAATTATATCAGGTTTTCAGATTCCCCGAATACCATGAGATCATGATCAGTTTCAACAATTTCGTCGGCTTCTGTCAGCTGTGCTGCCAGGTAGGACGTGCGACGAGTGGAACGCCGATTCTTACCATCTGTTGTCACAGCAATGTCACTGCTTGATTCTGACAGGGAAACGCCACTATCATCATGGCTGAAAGACAAAAATTCAAACAAAGAAAATTAATCTAGCACCAGATTGCAATGAAATATTTTTTACTTGAGTTGAGGTTTAGGACTCTATCAAGAGAGAGAGACTGATAATGAAATTTGCTACACTGGGGCTGAAGTTAAAATTAAAAGTTGTCTGCATGTGGATAGGTTGGAGAACAAGTCCTTGACAACAAACATTTCCTGACATGTAATTATTGCACTAGAAACTCTTACAGAATTTAGGTTATGTGACAAAACTGAAACCAGGCTGTCATTCTGAACTTATTGACCCTTGGCGATTCTAAGCCAGAAACTTTTCAGTATTGTTGGTTCTCTAATAAATATATTTGGTGGGCAAGCCATAATTTTCGACAGCATTAACTTACAATAAACATTCCAATTAACTAAAAAAAAAGATTATTTGATCCAGAAATTACCACATGGTGTTCCTGCGTGTGCAGGAAAACACTAGAAGCACCATCAGTGATCACAAACTACTAGATGGGCACTAGAATTGTAAACATAAAAACTCACGCAGTGTGTTCTTGTTTATCCAGAGAATCACTCAGATTGTCTGCCATCTTCTCAAACTCTTTCATTCCACTTGTGATTGCAGTGAAATGTTCACTGAACTGATCAGTCATTTTATTCAGGTCTTTCTGAAAACTTCCAGGACTGGTATCAATCTGAAATCTATAGTAATAAAATATTCACTATGTTACTTGTGCTTTTTTTTTCTGTATTTGACCTCCCCCCATTTTTTTGTTTGTTCTTGGTCATCGACTGTACCAGTTAGTGACCTGTTTCTGGTTTCTTCAAAAATATTGAAAAAATTAAAACAGCCAAAAAAACAAAAAAATTCATCACCACACCAGCAAAGAACGGTGCACAGAAACAAATTCATTGGACAACATTTTTCGATTGGAAATTTTTTAAACAGATAGTAAAGATTTTTCATGGAGGCTTGAAACTTTATGAGTTTGTCTGAAGCATGCCTTTTTTTTAAATAAGTAAAAGTAAACTGGGAGTAAATGTTAGATTCATTGACCCATACAAGCCTCTCATTTCAGTTTAAATTGTGAAAATGTTAAATATCTAACGAAAGAATGCCTTTGTTGCACAAGAGTAATGTCCCTTCTAGGTAACATTAGGTTATTTTTGTTATTGTCTTTTCAGTTGCCCTCTTGCCTTCTTCTTCTACCAGTTTTATCTTCTCCAGGAGATATATCACGTGTTAATAAATATTATTATGAAGCAGAAGTAAAAAAAAAAACGAGTGGGGAATGTTCACAGACAGACGTGACATTGGTCTTGTCAACTGTACCTTCTTGGAGTGTAGTTTTTCCTCACTCTACGACCCGGCGTGGCTTGTCTCTTTGATATACGTTCTGACCTGCGTAGATCCATCATTGGTGATATCGGCGATGTTGAGTCTATTACCCGGTATTTCTTCCATTTAGCTCCCGGTGTTTCCAGTTGATTTTCCGGCGTGTATGGAGAGTTGACGAATCTCTGCCTTCGCCCATTTCGCGGTGTCTTAGGAGACTTATATGGGGACGTCGCATCCAGTCGTTTTATCTGATATTTATGTGTACCAGCAAGTTTCTAGAAATGTTCGAAGATCAAGATAAACAAAAAGGATTTTAATTGCAACCAATAGTCCATGTGAAAAAACACACAAATAAAATCAAATGATTCAAAACTACTCCCTACACCTGTATGCTAAACTTGGAAAACGAGAAGTAGATCAGTCTTACTGCGCATTATATAATGAATTAAGCACCCCGAGACGCGAACAAACAAAGAAGGGGTTACACTTACCGCTTTCAAAGATGAGAAAGCGTTTTTAACGACCTTTCCCTTGCCGTTCAGGGTTCGTAATGGAAGACGCTCTCTGATCGACTGGCGCAGCGATGTTTTCCGGGTAAGTGGCACCGGGGACTCGAAGACAGCTACAGAATCCATGTTGTCCTCGGACGGCATCGGAGTCATTCGAGCTTGTCTGTAAGCGACTCCAATGACATCGTGATATTCAGGATTGAACGGTTCCATGTTCACTTCTCACTTTCACTTTTTCAAAAACTAGCGGTTATCGAATTGCGCATGCTCATTGGTTGGAGAAACTAAACTACGAGTGGACAGACGTAACCCGTGTGACTAGCACGTGACCATAATTTAAGCCAATCCAAAGCCTACTTAGTTTCATCCAATACTATTCACAAAATGGCTACCGCAGGTAGGTGTTGTATGATTGCTACCCGGCATTTCATGTGAAGTAGTGTTCACTCCAACTTTGGTAGGATTTTTAGGGTGAAATGTGCTGCTGTAGTTTTGTTGTTCGATTCCTTCGGTAATAATTGTCGTAGGTTTTAAATTCACAGCCAGAATATATGCCTGAAATGGTTCACTAGGTCCGTCTCAAAACTCGCATTGACCACCCCTTAATAATGGCATTTGGCACTGGTAAAAAAAAATACTAATATTCATGGATGGTATAAACATATTTAACATTGTCTTTAATGTTTTTTTTTTTTTTTTAACTGAAACGAACTAATTTTTCATTCGGTGATGGTTGTCATTGGGGTTGGCTTCGAGTTTGTTGGTGAAGACACAGGCGCTTGTC